TGTCAAATTTTACATATAAATTTGGGTGAGTCAACTCATTTGATTTATATGTGACAACATTTTGAACCCCTGTAGGGAGACATGTCCTGTGTCTAATATGGACTTTGAGATGGGTTCTTTACCTTTAATTTTTCGTTTTTCTAAATAGAATATCAACCATTAAATTGAATTATATAAATTATTAAAAAAAATTACACTTACAGGTTCTTTTTGAATTATTTGTCAATCGAGCCAATTCAGATTTATTTCTATACAATTTATACACATTATACTTTTCATACGTTTTTGCTGAATTCCATTGATGTTGATCAAAATCTTTACTTCTATAAAATTAAATTTTTTTTTTAATTATATATTAGATTAATATCAATTTATTGAATTAATAAAAATATACAATGAGAGTTGTGCCACATTGCGGCTCTAATTTTATTTTCTTATTTTCTATTTAACTATAAATAGCAACAAGAATTTGTAATTTCACTTAAAATACATACCGGTATATTGCTGCTAATAAAGATAAAGATCGACCATCATAGTTTATATTTGTATGCGCCGATTCACTAACATTGGTATTATTTGGCATTTTATTCCAAATTTTAGCTTTTATTTGAGTAAATGCAGATGAAAGTCCAGCCAATATCCATGGTTTATATTTATCATTGACCCACTATATTTTTAAATTTAAATCAATACGATATAGAAAAATTATATAATTATAAAAAAAAAAAAAAAACCTGCTGCTCCCAGTTCATCAGATTCCTTAATATATTCAATATTTCCTCTTGTGTATTTAATTTAGTAATAGAATACATTAATTCTTTCGTTTTGTTAAAAATAGCCTTATTTCAAATATTGCGATTGAAATGAACTTGACATAATTTATAAATGTGTTTTAAGTGTTCTTCACATGACAAATAACTATATTTCGAATGCAAATATTGCCTGAGACCAAGTGCTTGTCCTTGATGTTCATCTGCAATTATACAGCCTAATCCACGACCATGAATGTGCTGAAATTCAAATGGCTTGTGTGTATTATTTTCAACAGTAACAAACAAATCTTCAAATAAATATTTATATGCTTTAGCCAATTGAAAATTTGTAAAAACTCGTGCAAAAACTAGTGCTTTTTGATAACGATGAACATATGCACAAATTTCCTACTCATTTGCAACACTATGAACTCTTTTGAATACCATATCAATCTCAACATATAATGATTGAGAAAGCAATTACATTTGTTCCTTTTGGGCACATAAAACAAGATATTGACCATTATCAAAAAACCTAACTGAACGAATATATGGATCTGATGATTCTTTTTGTTTCGATAATTCATGTGCAACTCCTATTATATCTTGCCCAAATGGATATTTTGATCATCTATTTTTTTCAATTAAATAAGTAAGACGTGACTGATTATTTAATGATGGATGAAGGCACTTAATGGTCGTCCTTGAAGATATATTTTTAGCATTGGTTTTGTAAGAAGTTGCCATGTAGTAAGACTCAAATCATGTTCCTTTTCAATAATATTCTGCAAATTTTCAATTATATTAAGTGGGGTTTTAGTTGGAGGTGGAGGCAGATGATTATGAATGCCAATAGAGATTATTACAATAAATGGGCATTGAGTTAAATCCTTAGGCAATATATGATAAAATTTCACAGGACAAGGTCCTTTATTAACTAATTTTCCTCTCATAACTTGTGTATCCGTTTTATGAAGATGTGCTATTATGTAATAGAATAATTTTTATATTGCATATAAATACAAATTAATTTGCATAAATTTGAGCATCTTAATTTGAAATAACTATACTTACAGCAATGACTCATTGTAGAAGAATTTGGAAAAACCGTAAAACATTCATTAACAGATATATTTCTATAAGCCTATAATTAAATTATTATTAGATATTTATAATAAATAAATATTTATTTTAATAACATATATATATATACTTTTCTGTTAATTTCGTTTGAACAGTATGTATAATTTTGAAATAATTGTTCAAGGTATTCCAATATCAAGCATGTGTTAGGTATATTAATAAAATCAATTAAAAAAAATTGGTGAGACTCTATATTTTTTGAGATCTGGTTAGATAGTATAAGAAAGATTAAAAGTTGTTGAAGTGATAGATATATAAAATTCTTCAGCTTTAGCAAGGTACGGACTCGTATATTGCAAAGTCTAGCTATGTAATTAGAGTACACGTAGTTTATAGTCAAATTTTAAATAATTATTATTATTTAAATAGAAACTTTTTCTTACCTTACCTGTGTTCAACTTTCAAGGTATACATTAATTAATTAATTAATATTATTATTAGTATCTTTTTATTATTATTAAATAATATAATTTATTAATACAATTTAATATATTTAATATTGCTTTACAAGCAAGGTACGAACTCATAGATCACAAAGTCTAGAACAAGTTACATAATTACGTAATTAGAGTATCGTATAATTAATAGCTAAATTTTAAATTATTATTAATATTTTAAATAGAAATTTTTTCTTACTTCTTCTTTATCACTTTTCTCTTACCTGTGTTCAACTTTCAAGGTATACTTTAATTAATTAATAATAATTATTATTAGTATCTTTTTTTATATAATTTATTAATACAATTTTATATATTTAATATTGCTTTACAAGCAAGGTACGGATTCGTAGATCACAAAATCTAGTTACATAGTTACATAATTACATAATTAGAATATCACATAGTTAATAGCTAAATTTTAAATAATTATTAATATTTTAAATAGAACTTTTTTCTTACCTCTTTTTTATTGCTTTTCTCACCTGTGTGCAACTTACAAGATATACTTTAATTAATTAATAATTATTATTATTAATATCTTTTTTTTATTATTAAATAATATAATTTATTAATACAATTTAATATATTTAATATTGCTTTACAAGCAAGGTACGGACTCGTAGATTACAAAGTCTAGTTACATAGTTATATAATTACGTAATTAGAGTATCATATAATTTTTTTTTTTTTATTTTTATTAATATAATGTCATAGTAGAAACTTTATTACAGTCAGTCCGAAGATTGAAAGTTATCTTATAGTCTACAA